TTTTGCATTCATGGCTTTTATTTTGGTGATTTCGAAAAGTTTTTTTGGTTTGGCCATGTTTTTGTTTATTGTAGTACGGAGTTAGACTGATGGCCTTAATCTTAGTTGTCTTGTGGTTGTTGTTGTTGTTTGACTTGCATCCCACTGGGATTTTTGCACACAGCGTTGGTGTACGGTGCTATTTCAGAAATATTTTGATGTTTTTTTCCTGGATTTTCTGTTTTCACAGTCACATAATCACTTTAAGATGTTTTCTTGTTCATGTTTTTGTTTTTTGTTTGTTGCGGTTGCACCCGATTCAAGAGCCGAATGGCTCACAGGGCTATACCAGATAAATGGAACTAAATGGACCTAGTCTTGGTTTACATGAGGTGTGGCGACACACATCTGTGATATAGAAATTTGGAGGCAGGGTTGGCAGTTCATACAGAGATGGGGCCATAAAGTGTGTGCATCATCCGTTTCGCGGGGGCGAATGGTTGCCTGTATGTGGCAGCACAGCAAGCAGGTTCCTGACCAATTTGTGTGGACTTTGAGTCTAAATCTCTATGTATCCGTAGATGGTCTACAGACACACATTAGCTACATCTTCAAGTCTCATTTGTGCAGTTTTTAAACAGCCTAAATCTAATACTTATTTTTAACCATACAACTGGCCCATGCCAAGCCAGCCCAGCTATGGAAACTCCAGGTTGTCTTTCCAATCCAGAACCCACGCAGCACCGCTGAATTCAGGCACAAAAAAATCAAATAATGAACCCCGCCCCTGGTCCTGCTTGGCCCTGAGCCAGAGTGTGATGTCTTGTGAGGCCAGCTAATAACGGTTCGGTTCTGGCTCAGCTCGGTTAGTAGACGGTGGAAAACCACTCGTGCCGTGAGGACCCGATGCAAGCGCGGTTCAGATGTGGAAAAGAAGCATCCACGTAATGCACATTCTTAATCGTAAAATCCCACGTTCTGGATGGGATCCAAAGTCACAACGCCCTCTAATGTATCCGAGTCTATGAACACCACGCACCACGTGGCCTTCGTGTCACCGACGTTGACTTCGTTTGGCGGCAGCTCGAGCGGCGTCTCAAGGAATGTTTTGTTGCTTTTGAGAACGCGGACCTCTGAGGCTCGGTTGTGGCTTCCTGACCCCACTTCCTCAAAGTGCACAATGGCATGAAGCCAACCCGACATGAGGAAATTCAGCTGCAATGGAAACCACATCATTATTGACTAATGGTTTATTTAAAACTCTCGTACAAGGGTCTTCAATGACACTTTAGATAACATCGAACTGTCCAATACCATATGTTTTATTCTTCTTGGTCTTGGGACATCCACCTAATTACTTTTGTACATTATTTTCGTTGCAGTTTTATTTGCAAAGATAACTCATTTGTCAACATTCAGTCATTTGTGTAAGAGCAGAAACAGCACCATACGGCAGGGGTCTTAAAAACATGACTTACCACGTCTGCATGCTGGGAACGTGCCAAGAGAGTGTTAAACGTAACCGGAAATAGGAGGTTTTGCGATAGTTCGAACACGTGAGCGGGATGGAGGGGGGCAGACAAAGAGGAAGAAGACTTGAAGCGGTGAGGTGGGGCACTGTGAGAGCGGACCTTGGAAGTGGCGTGTGGTGCAACATTTGCAGGATCTAACGGGAGATGTGAAGCGATGGCCAAATGTGTCGTCATCCTTGGCATTGGCTATGATGGCCTCTCAACCTTGAGAAGCCGTAATCGGTTACACATTTTATAAACACTTACCAAATGAAGGTAATGTTACCGTAGTGTAATGGTTAGCACACTGGACTTGCAATGCGGAGGTAGCCTGGCTCGAACTATTTCTATCGGCACAATCTCAAATCCCTCTGCCTCTCTCCACCCGGCATGCCACGTGTGGTCGGGTCAAGTGTGGGTTATGCCAAGGCGTCTGGTCAACTTGGAAGAGGAGGACAAGTTACTCTCTTATGGAGGGTTCCTCCACAGCTCCTTCTCGTCAAAGGCCTTCGTGCCAGCTGTGGCATGACCAAGTCATTGCATGGCTGCACCCTACCTTCAACTTACCATCTAAAGGCCATTCCAAAAACCTTGCAGTTATTATTCATATTCTTCTTTTTTGAGCAGTGGAGTGTATCACTGCGATGTCTCCTTCGTATTTGTGGATCGGGCATTGCGTCGTTATACGTTGTAAGGTCTGTTCTGGATGACCACAGTCGTACTCTGGAGAGTTTAAAATGTTACATTTGTGCATCAGGTATCCGCATCTGCCATGGTTTATACGGATACGGTTGAGGGAGGACCATGAGCTTCGCAGAAGATCAAAACCAGGGACTTTATGTGTTGTGTCTCTCACATGATTACAATTAACTGTGAGTAACGATAATGCCCTTAATTTACTCTGAGAAGCCTCGCTCAGGCTCAAGACTCTTTTCCGAGAGGGTCCTGCCTTGAATTTCTTGGCCGATTCCATTAATAAGTACCCCCATATTGAAGGACACTAGATAACCCAGAGAAAGCCTCCACATATGGAAGGGTTACACTCAAAGCTCTGTACTGATATATTAATACACCTATTGCTGTAATGCCATCTCACGGCCACCTTGCAGGCTGTAACATCATGATGCAATATTGCAGTACACACTATACTGGCTTATGAGGAAGAAAATAAATCAGAGTATCATTATGACCTACATTTAGTTTTACTGTTCTCTGTTTTACTTGGAATTTGAAGGCAGCAGAGACTTGTGTGACAGGTCAGAAGGAACATCTTTTCCTGCCAAACCCCCGAAACAAAGTGTTCGCAATTTAGAGGCAAAGAAAATTTGTCCTGGCTCGTAATATGGATTTCGCAGAGCATGTCTAGACAATCTGCAATAACTTTCTGAATGTCAATCGTTAATTTCAACAGTTTTGGAAAACATAAATTAACCAAGCAAATATCCGGGCCCTGGCCGAGCTCGGCTCTAGCCGAGCTTACATTTACAAGCACATTTCTCTCCCCTACTCGTACTCTCCTGCTCGCTCCTACACTAACATTAGCTGCCCCGCCCATCCCTAAACCTTTATAAACAGCCTGCCTCGGCAGATTCCCCCTCTTTTTCACCTGATGACGATTGCTTGTGTTGCGATCGAAACGTCGTGATCTATTATTTTGTCTACCTACGTGACTTTACCGAAGGAATCAAACAGTATAAATAAACCAGTGCGGTGCTTTACCCCAGGATATTTTGCGCCGATGGAATTTAGATTTGTTTAACCTGCAGTATTGTAACTGAATGGAACTACGGCCAGGATGTTTGACTCACAATCACAAGGCATGGGTTAAAATAATTCCAGTTATAGTAGACTCGGCTCGTCATCTCTCCTGGGGTCAATAAAATGACTGCTACTTGGTGGAATTTTGTTTTGTTTAACGGAGAGTCCGGTCTCTGCCATAAACATAAGGAATGTCCACCACTGGCTCAGGAGTAACAATGGAATTGAGTAGCACAGAATACTGATGACTTATTGGGTCATGGAGACACTGACTTTAATCGAGTTCACAAAATACATTCAGCAGAATGGAACAATTCACTCAGAATCAATACATCTGTGTGGTCAGTGTTAGTATTCAAGCTGTCAACTGCTGTAGTGTCATTCTTTTGGACGAAAGACCATCACGGAGTGCGCTGGATTAGTGCACTGGCAAATATGATATGCAGTGAAGCAAGAATGTAAATAAAACGCTTTGACTATCTCTGAAGAGATGGTGGGACACGTCTGTCAGCCAACTGTGTTCAGGCGAGGGATGGTGGGTCGCACAGATGTTGTGAAACTCCCTTTCCGTGGGCGTGGAGGAGGTGCCATGCCCTGGATTGCCAGCAGAACGAAGTACGGTAAAGTGTGGACTCATACATTGTGTCCATTCTGTGTGGGATAGTGTGTTGCCCCCTCACGTTTTCTTCAGGTGCTCTGGTGTACTCCTACACGTGCACAATCAATAATGGGCCGAAAACATCTTAATACAGTGAGGGGAAAAAAGTATTTGATCCCCTGCTGATTTTGTACGTTTGCCCACTGACAAAGAAATGATCAGTCTATACTTTTAATGGTAGGTTTATTTGAACAGTGAGAGACAAAATAACAACAACAAAATCCGGAAAAACGCATGTCAAAAATGTTATAAATTGATTTGCATTTTAATGAGGGAAATAAGTATTTCACCCCCTCTCAATCAGAAAGATTTCTGGTTCCCAGTTGTCTTTTATACAGGTAACGAGCTGAGATTAGGAGCACACTCTTAAAGGTCCGATTGAACACATTGCATAAAATCCGTGATCTGGTTCCGTCTGTAAAAGATGTGATTCCGGACATACAGTACCCTGGCGTCTACAAACTAAGTTGCCTCTGTGGTAGTAATTAATTTGGATAAACCAAACTACATGTCTCGGACCGCATTCGTGAACACAAAGCAGACCTAAAACACGGTAGGACCAACACCTCGGCCGACGCAGATCACTGTTATAATTCAGTAGGCTCACATGACATTGACTTCTCCAAGACAGAGGTTCTTTGCAAGCCATCTGGCTACCATGAGAGATTCGTTCATGAGGCTATCCACATATACAAACACAGAGACAATTGCAACCGAGAAGATGGATTCTGGCTTAGCAATCATTGGAAGGATTTGATAAACCATTTCGGGTCTTAATTGATTGTTCACGCTTACGGTGGCTTTCAGACCGCATCCATTATTTTCGTCTCCCCCTCCTCTTTTCCGAACATAGATGGACTCGTCCATCTGAACAATCTGTCAAATCGCTCTCCGTGGTGCTAACGTAAAAAATAAGTAAATAAATACAAACCGCCACTTTTTTCAAAAATTTTTGCTGTGGTTTTCACACCTGATGATGATTGCTTGTGTTACAGTCGAAACGTTGTGATAATTTTATTGTTTTATATTTTATGTTATTTTATTGTTACTGGACATTGGTTATTTTATTTACTTTTTAGCTCATCGCATTTCTCCCGTATAATTAAATATTATGATACTGCTGGGTGGATAGAGGCAGGGAGGTTTAATAAACGTGTTCATTGTTTCGGCTGCCACGCTGGGAGATCGAACCACTGTCTACGCGAATATATCCTTGGGCACAGCAAGTTTAGCAATTCGTGAGCGGCGCGAGTCGGGTGTGCGGCTTCATTGTCTCGACGCCAGCAGGGGAAGATGCGAACTGTGGGAGGCGGTGGGTTCTGTGTGAGGGTTTCCTAACAAAAGAAAGGGGGTTGAGGCATACCAAGCAGATGGCCGAGGACAAAACAGCATCACTTGTGCGCGCCCGCCCGCCCGCCCGTGTGTGTGTGCGTGTGTGCGTCCATGCACCGTCCTTGGCCGGTGCGTGCTAATAGCGTTCGCTCCTCCAGTCTAATCGGCTGAGAGGGGGAGTGCCTTCCTCTCTCGGTGTGCGTATGTGATCTTACAGATTGTAGGCAGACAGATCTCTTGGGTGTGTGTGTGTTGTTTTGGTGGTTGTACCGGGCGCGTCGTTTGGCACGATGTCTGACGTTTCTTCGCTTCCACGTGCTCGGGGACTTTGTGCTCAGTTGCTGAACACTCTTCATTTCCCGAAGAAGCTCCCAAGCAAGTGGAGCGAAGCTTCAGACATCATGCCGAACGACAGCCAATAAGACACTGGGGCGCTGTAGAGCACAACCGAGAAAACTTACACTGAAATGTTGTAGAAAAATATGTGAAAATCAAAGTGCCACATCCAACCTGCCATTCGTTCAGTGTAAAAGCGTAACGTGTTTATTGAGCTGTGGGTGTTCGTGCGTGCGTGTGTGGATTCAATTGTATTTAGAATCTTTACCAAGGAAATCTAATTGAAATATTCGGACATGTATCAGGAAGACTGCTCGGGATGTGAAACCGATGTTTCAATATTCCCCATTTAAATGCGCGCTTTAGTCTTGAGTATGTACACGTATGTATTGATATTTGATAAGGGAATGATGGCGCAGAGGTTTCCGCACTCTGCTAAGAGGCCGGTGACCTGCCCTTAATGTCGGCCATAGCTATCGTTAGCAAGGTGCTTATTTGTACGTTAGTATGTATGTACAGTGAGGGGAAAAAAAGTATTTGATCCTCTGCTGATTTTGTACGTTTTCCCACTGACAAAGAAATGATCAGTCTATAATTTTAATGGTAGGTTTATTTGAACAGTGAGAGACAGAATAACAACAAAATCCAGAAAAACGCATGTCAAAAATTTTATAAATTGATTTGCATTTTAATGAGGGAAATAAGTATTTGACCCTCTCTCAATCAGAAAGATTTCTGGCTCCCAGGTGTATTTTATACAGGTAACGAGCTGAGATTAGGAGCACACTCTTAAAGGGAGTGCTCCTAATCTCAGCTTGTTACCTGTATAAAAGACACCTGTCCACAGAAGCAATCAATCAATCAGATTCCAAACTCTCCACCATGGCCAAGACCAAAGAGCTCTCCAAGGATGTCAGGGACAAGATTGTAGATCTAAACAAGGCTGGAATGGACTACAAGACCATTGCCAAGCAGCTTGGTAAGAAGGTGACAACAGTTTGTGCGATTATTCTCAAATGGAAAAAAACACAAAATAAATGTCAATCTCCCTCGGCCTGGGGCTCCATGCAAGATCTCACCTCGTGGAGTTGCAATGATCATGAGAACGGTGAGGAATCAGCCCAGAACTACACGGGAGGATCTTGTCAATGATCTCAAGGCAGCTGGGACCATAGTCACCAAGAAAATAATTGGTAACACACTACGCCGTGAAGGACTGAAATCCTGCAGTGTCAGCAAGGTCCACCTGCTCAAGAAAGCACATATACATGCCCGTCTGAAGTTTGCCAATGAACATATGAATTATTCAGAGGACAACTGGGTGAAAGTGTTGTGGTCAGATGAGACCAAAATTGAGCTCTTTGGCATCAACTCAACTCGACGTGTTTGGAGGAGGATGAATGCTGCCTATGATCCCAAGAACACCATCCCCACCGTCAAACATGGAGGTGGAAACATTATGCTTTGGGGGTGTTTTTCTGCTAAGGGGACAGGACAACTTCACCGCATCAAATGGACGATGGACGGGCCATGTACCGTCAAATCTTGGGTGAGAACCTCCTTCCCTCAGCCAGGGCATTGAAAATGGGTCGTGGATGGGTATTCCAGCATAATGACCCAAAACACACGGCCAAGGCAATAAAGGAGTGGCTCAAGAAGAAGCACATTGAGGTCCTGGAGTGGCCTAACCAGTCTCCAGACCTTAATCCCATAGAACATCTGTGGAGGGAGCTGAAGGTTCGAGTTGCCAAACGTCAGCCTCGAAACCTTAATGACTTCTGCAAAGAGGAGTGGGACAAAATCCCTCCTGAGATGTGTGCAAACCTAGGGGCCAACTTCAAGAAACGTCTGACATCTGTGATTGCCAAGAAGGGTTTTGCCACCTAGTACTAAATCATGTTTTGCAGAGGGGTCAAATATTTATTTCCCTCATTAAAATGCAAATCAATTTATAACATTTTTGACATGCGTTTTTCTGGATTTTTATTGTTGTTATTCTGTCTCTCACTGTTCAAATAAACCTACCATTAAAATTATAGACTGATCATTTCTTTGTCAGTGGGAAAACGTACAAAATCAGCAGGGGATCAAATACTTTTTTCCCTCACTGTATATATGTACGTACTGTATATGTTGAACTTATTTCATGAATTGTCAATCATCGTGACGTCCATTATTGCTGTATTATCTCAATCACATTCATACTTTTATGAAAGCCTGGTGAGAGCCCTCGAGACAATGTGTTTTACATCACCTGTAGAATACACAATTGGCAATGGGCAAACGCAGAAGCGGTGAAGACACGTGTGTTTATTGTGTAAGTCTCCGTGTCTGTGCGATCGTCTATATTTTGTCCGCGCGTGTCCGTACGAAATACGTAGGCGCATTGTCGCGATAAGGCACTTGACAAATGAAGGCCACCCCATGACATGACACGTCAGTATGTCAGTTGTGGGGGCGGGTGTTTGACCATAACTCATCACGTCGTTCGGGGTGGGCTGGTGAAGTCGACTCGTTGCGATAGAGGAGGCCAGCCCCAGTTCGGTAATATCCCTCGCCACTGATATCATCCGTGACCGAGAATCAGACTTGGGTTGCTGGGTTCATTGTGCAGTGTGCCAATCATTTTATTCGGTATGCCTCCATGCTGCCGTCTCTGTCTAACGGTTTCATATTCCGTACGGATGAAAATCAGAGTTATAAAATAAGGACAGGAGGACCCAGACTCTACTTTGAAGGAACAACACACTCAGTTAATTTTGCGCTGCAGCCCCGGCACGCGGATTGTGATCTACAATCTTTTCGCTGCCCGTCACAGCCATTCTCATAGGCGTTTGCATCTCCTCTGAGTGCCCTGTTCACGTGAAACAGTTCTTTCCGTCAGTATGTCACCATGTGAAATCTCTCTCTGATGCTCTCACGCATTCACTTAGTCCTCTGAATGTCGCACTCCACTGCTCTATATTTAGATGCACACGATTTTTGGTGTAAATATATGGGATGCTACCATGGTGTGATATTTAGCACCCTTGACTTGTAATCCAGGGGTCACCGGTTCGATTCAACTTTTTGTCAATTCTTTTGACAGAATAAAAAAATGTGTCTTGTTATTTTGGTTGCCGAACCCTGGCCAAGGTTACAAAAAAACAACAACGTTCCCTGGCTCTCTAACGATGGACTTTTAAGTTGCAATACGAGGCTGGATGATGGCTGTTTGCTGCGAGGGTATATTTACTGTTGCACAGATTCATGGAGAAATGCACTCTTGAAATTACACCTTCAGAGAGAGGGAACGAAGAAACACGTGGGTAAAGAACATGCATATTGACCACGGCCAAATGTACGTGGACTTGAGACAGGACCAATTGCTAGAATAAATCATGACTTAGAATGGCAGCCGAAGGAGGTCACATTGCCTATAAGATGACTACCGCAGCTCGTTCAGTGTGTGGGGGTGGGAAATTGGGATGAGTAAGTGTGTGTGTTTTTTAAGTATCATTTTTGCGTGTGATGTGATGCACGTTCCACTGCTTTGTAAATCATCTCGAAATACAGTTGCATATTAGAAGTTATTTACAGTTAATAAAAAAAATGCAAGCCTTCATTTATCACGCAATATTTAAACTAAACTATTAAATTTCATCTTTGTATTTTACCGGTTAAGATCGACTGAGATGTATAGCTCTTCTTAGAATCGACCTGGCCACAAATGATAGCTCAACGAAGTGGCTTATCATGTGGAAACGTATAGCAGCCGAATACTCTAAACGCATGCTGATTGTGAATGTGGAGGGAGAAAAAAACGGGAGGAGCTGGAGATAAATCCACGTGATCACGAGGAGTGGGTAAACGAAGGAGGATGGGGGGGGGTTATGTGTTGTATTTTTCGGAGCTCAGCCTCGGACAGCTTCGGCCGAAATGAATCAATCCCGGTTCATGTTATCGATGATGACCACGGTAATCCCAGATGAGGATCCACCCACCGCAACGCAGCGGAGGAGGCTGCCGCCGCCGCCTCCTGATCTCAGCCGCCACCACCACCACCAGCAGCCGCTTCATCGACCCCACACACACAAAGCCGCTCCTCTCCCGGCTGGCTCCGGCCAAATCCCCATCCCCCGCCAGGCAACCTCCCAAGCGCAGAGGGCCCAAAGCCACGCCTCCCAAGCCCCATGCGTTCCCTCTTGTCTCCGTTAATAATAACAACCCGGGCAGCCAGCCGTGAGTACAGCACTCCCTCTCTCCCCCCTTCCTTTACTCACCGGCCGGTCTGCCCGCACTCTCTCGCAGTCAGCAACAGCGAGACGCACCGGGCAAGCCACCTCCATATACAGTCGGCGTATCATCATCATCATCACCACCACCACCATCACCCCCCACTGCTTCGCCTCCTCCGCTTTCTTGTCGTCTTCCCGAAGCCGCGCGTCTCGGCTCGCCTGACAGAGTCCTCCGCCTTTGTTAGGAGCTAGGGGAGAAGCAACGCAACAGCCAAAAGGGAGGCGCTAGTGGCGGTGTAAGTTTGCACAGGAAGAGGCTGTGGCGTGATGCTGCGAGGGGCCTGCCTTTGATTGAATAACCAAAGAGGGGTGGGTGGGGGTGTAGGGAGTTTGTTCCAGGAATCGAGTTTAGAGGAACCTTTTTTCGGTGTGTGTGTGTATTTGTAGGTGTGTGTGTGTGTTGTGTCTCTCTGTAAGTCTGGTCGCAAATAGCCGCATTGCGATTGTAAGCGGCTACACCAACCATTCACGTGCAAGGCGCGCATTGAGTGTGAGAGGCGAGAGACCGAGGGATTATTAGGCGCCTCTCCTTGCCACGACGATGTGGCCATTCAGTTTCATCCAGAAGGAGAAGAACTCGAACCAGAACAATAAGTCGCTGGCGTTGCAGGAGCAGCAGCAGCAGCGAAACCAGCAGCAGCAGTGCACGGTGAGCTACAGCAGCAAGGATGTGTCGAGGAAGCACAGCAACGACGCGTCCAAGAACGGCAACGGGAATCTGCCCCTGCCGCAGACCCAGGCGGTAACCACATCCCAGCCCGTCCCGCAGAAGACCGCCGCCGCAACTACCAACACCGCCGCCACCCATCTTCTGGTGAACCCTCAACCCCAGGCGGGCACCACCACGCAGTCGTCCGTCCAGAACCAGCCGCCGCCGCCGCTGCCGCCGGGTGCCCAGCTCCTCCTGTCCAACGCCCATCCGCTGGCCGTGCCGCTGGCGCTGCCGGGGCTACCGGCCCCGGCCTCGTCCGCGGCGGCCACCCGCGCCGTGCTGCAGCCGAGGAAGAACGCCGTGACGGACGACTTCAGGATCACGGGGCAGGTGCTCGGGCTGGGCATCAACGGCAAGGTGGTGGAGTGCTACAATAAGAAGACGGCGGAGAAGTTCGCTCTCAAGGTAATCGCTGGCAACCCCCACCCCACCCACACACACACACCAAAGATAAAGATGCCCCCTTCCCCCGTATAGCCTCGACAGACTGTTGGGGCAAGTGCTGTTAGCGAACACCGACGCAGGCCGGAACGGGACACGAGGAAGGGGGTGGGTGGCCTTTGTCTCCCTGTTGGCGATGTTTAATTACACACCGCACCAGGTACTCTCATTTGAGGCTGTGTCGACCTAGAGGAGACCGTAGGGTCTGTTCAAATAATCGTCACCGGTGTTGGCCGTGAACGGAATTCGAAATCGAGTGGCCGGGTTGGTAGTGTAGCGTGCGCTAACCGCTACCCCCCATCTTCGCCCCAGTGACAGGCATTTCACTCACCCCCAACGACCCCGTATATGATGCAATCTGGCGAGATGTTAACTGCCTCCCCGGGTATACAGGAGGTCGTGAGTTCCATTCAGACCCTGACGTCTGTTGTATAGTTGGAGTTTGCGTGCTCTCTCTCTCCCCGTGGTCGCGTGAATGTTTTTTACTCCGGTTTTTCCATCCACATTTAGAAACGTGCGTTTAGAGTATTTGGCTGCTATAAATTTCCACGTGAAAAGCCACTTCATTCAGTTATCATTTGTGGCCAGGTTGCTTCTGAAAAAGAGCTATATAGTTCAGTGGGGCCTTACCTGGTAAAATATTTATTTTATCAATTTATTATTTTATTTTCATTCTACGTGACTTTACCGAAAGAACCAAAGAAGAGGAAAATAAAAGCCCTTCAGTTGGTTCGGTCTTGAACTGCAGTATACATACAGTACTTCACACCCTTGCAGTTTGTATTACACGGATTACTTTTTGTGTTACGCAGACGCCCCCATCGAAACCCCCATAGGTTTCGATGGAGTACCCTTGCCCATAGCATCTGTACCCAGCACGATTTATTTAAGTAACTGACTGACTGATAATTATGAGACCCCAGGAGGTGGCTTGCTTTGCTTTCTTAAACAAATGCTGCCGGATAATATGTTGGTCTGGAATGCCAGTAGGCCGATTGACTATTTTTTTTCCTCTGTGTGTGGAGACACCTTTATTAGCTTTTACTCTTCCAGTGGTCGAGTATTCTCTCAAAAGAGGAGTTCTAAATGTATGAATTAACATGTTAATTGTCTTGTATACAGTCATGCAAGAGCCTACAATGTATAGGGGCGTGGAGCTGCATCGTAGGATTGCATTGCATGTGTCTCAAGGATATCTGTGATGCTGAGAAATATCAGTGGCCAGGAATCAAACCAAGCTCACTGACTACTTGGAATAAAAGCCAACAGCTGTGCCACCACTCACCATAATGTGCTCGTGAGCGTGGGGACAGTGGTAGTCTCCATTAACAGCCCTGAGTCAGTGGTGGCAATTCCAGCTTCATATGGAGGGGGGGGGGTATTTTCCATCAGACATCCTCACTGTTGACTTCACACACGTTTGTATTAATGTCATTGGCCCTGGAGGGATGGTAGTCTGATTTGACCCCTGACCAGAATTTGTCACCCTCTAATAGTGAGATAAATTAGGTAGTTGTAATTAAAGGCATTTGTATGTATTTACCATGACATTGCTTATCTTGTTGGCCCTGAACCATTGGTGGAAATTCCATATCCTACAGAAATTCCATATCCTACAGAAATTCAATACCCTACCGAAGAAAATTATGATAACTGTCACGTTAGCATTTATATGTGTTTGGTGTTAGTGAACAAAAACGATTTAGCGGTGTTTTTACTGGCGACGGGTGATTGGATTAATGTATTTAAGGATGTTAATGCTTATAAAAAAAACTATTATTCTTGCATAAAAGTAAACAAATAATGTTTTCGAAAAAACGTATTTGGCAGCATTGGTTAAAAAGGGAATAAATGTTGACCACAAAGACTTAATAAGGGGCACATTTGTGTGATCAAAGTGTCAGTGCGCATACATTAGCTCGCCTTACCCTTGTACACTTGGCTTGTTGGGTCATTAAGCTACCCCCATGATACATAATTCTCCACGAACATTGCCAAATAGGCATAATGCCTGCTAATAGTTCATGTTGATAATAAGGATTCGATTACAATGTTTGCATGGTTAGCCCATTGCAGCACTTTTTTATTTGCCGGGTATCACGGTCAAAGTTTTCAAAAAGTTTCCTATAATTACAACATCCTCGTTTACTTCACAAATGAAAGGGTTGGGAATTCAAATCCTGGTGGGGGAGTCGACTCGGGTTTAACGTCCCTGGGATCCTTTGAGAACATGACGAGTACTCTACGAGTCACCAAACTCTGCGAGTCACCAGACTCTGCGAGCCACGAGTACTCTGCGAGCCACCAGTACTCTGTGAGCCACCAGACTCTACGAGTCACCAGACTCTGTGAGCCACCAGACTCTGTGAGCCACCAGACTCTGTGAGCCACCAGACTCTGTGAACCACCAGACTCTACGAGTCACCAGACTCTGCGAGCCACCAGACTCTGTGAGCCACCAGACTCTGTGAGCCACCAGACTCTGTGAGCCACCAGACTCTGTGAGCCACCAGACTCTGTGAGCCACCAGACTCTGTGAACCACCAGACTCTACGAGTCACCAGACTCTGCGAGCCACCAGACTCTGTGAGCCACCAGACTCTGTGAGCCACCAGACTCTGTGAGCCACCAGACTCTACGAGTCACCAGACTCTGCGAGCCACGAGTACTCTGCGAGCCACCAGTACTCTGTGAGACACCAGACTCTGTGAGCCACCAGACTCTGTGAGCCACCAGACTCTGTGAGCCACCAGACTCTGTGAGCCACCAGACTCTACGAGTCACCAGACTCTGCGAGCCACGAGTACTCTGCGAGCCACGAGTACTCTGCGAGCCACCAGACTCTACAAGTCACCAGACTCTGTGAGCCACGAGACTCTGCGAGCCACCAGACTCTGCGAGCCACGAGACTCTGCGAGCCACCAGACTCTGCGAGCCACCAGACTGCGAGCCACGAGACTCTGCGAGCCACCAGACTCTGCGAGCCACGAGTACTCTGCGAGCCACCAGACTCTGCGAGCCACCAGACTCTGCAGAAAGGGTGAATGTCATAGGGAGCTCTCGAGCAACCTCTGCACATCGCACGCACCACGCCGTTATTATTGCACAATGTTGAAGTGCCACAGGGCAACGCGGTGGGCAGCCGAGGGGCAGTGCAACAACATCAACCGTTGTCCTGTACTGTGCTTCTATGCTCCCTGTCTTCACCAACCCCCACTGACCAGCACGGTGAAGTATGGTCAAATAACCCCCTCGAACCAGCGTGTCATTGGGAGGTCCTCATCCAGCAGTGGATCGACAACAGGGCTGTGTGCGTTTGTATACTTTGTCCCTGTTACTCTGCAGTGCCCTGCTTTACACGGGAACACCCCTTTTTGGGAAGGTCAAAAGTGATTGTTCTGTAGAGAGAATGATCATCTGGGAAAGGAATGTGAAGTTTTCACTCTTGGCTCGGCATCCACTATTGGAGATGAGTAGCGTCCGATGTGTGGTTGAGTAGGGAGACAGACTATTTAAAATTCACCTGTCACGTATGTATGTTGAACTTCTTTGGCACTGTACGTAGCCAACCGTGTCAATCGGAGGTACGGGGGAAGGATAACAAACTAAACACAAACATCAGTTCTAAAGAAATTCGTTTTCGAATTATATTGATAATGGTGATGAAGATTGATGATCGATTATTATGAAGATGATGAAGACACTACTGTTCGTCATCACATTGATTTATTGACAAGTCGATTGTAATTTTTCAACTCGTTTTCAGACAGTTAAAGTTAGCAATTCTTTAACTGTCTGTTCTGGTTTGTAATTGGCTCGCTACAAATAAATGGTACAGATGCTTGAAGGCATAGAAAAGAATGTCATTTAAATGTTTTCAAGTGTTGAGAACAATTAAAATCGGTGTCGACGACTTTTGCGGACTAAATACGTTCCAGAAGCGTGGTCATTGCCATGGAAAAAAACCCCCCAACAAACTCAAAAGTGTACCACAAAAGCGTGGAAACACAAAAGAGGCGCACACGTGGATTAGAGGACATGTGCAGGTTAAAGGCATAATTGAAGCTGTTAAAAACGAAGTGGGGACTTGGGCGAGAGATGTCACTGGAGGGGATGATGGCCCACGGTTAATAATAGTCACCGAGTGACACCGAGGAATGTAACGAGCCAGAGGTCACGCTTATCGAGGAGATGGAGCGGTGGAATCGGCTCGTGTGCAGGTGCTCGGCGGATGGCCATCGCGCGGAACCGTGAGGCTCGTGGAGGTCTCTCATCCAGCGGTGGATTGCCCACGGCTGACGATGATGAGGCCTTGCTGGGTGTGCGTGTGAGACTGCGCCTGCGGTGAATGTGTTTGGAGTTCCAGCATGAGAGGAGGAAATCTCCAAATCTCCACACCCTCGGGCTTTAAAACCACAGGGTGTATATATTTATTTAGTTGCCGATTTTTTTCTCTCTCTTTCCTTCCCTTTAACTTGATGGTGCATTTTCTCCACAATTCACGAATGCAAGAATCGCATTGTGCGGGAAGCTTTGGTGGAATGCTTCACATTCTTTGCTGCCTTTGAATGATTAGGCGATCGCAATCGAGGGTATCGGTGTCTCGGTCAAGATCAACACCGTAAATATGCCCCATTGGATGGTGTTAGCTATATATGGTGGTGGGGACAATGATTGCAGATGCAATTATTAAAAAATAAAAAAATAGGTCGTCATTATCAGAAGCTGTGTATGCAGTGCGTGTTCGACAATTGGATATTCACAATGTTGTAGTACATGGTGTTAATGTAGACCGTCTGAAGAATGAGTTGGGTAATTGTGGCTAGAAATAATTAAATAATTAACACTGATCTTTAATATTAATGACCTCTTGGCTGGTTAATTAAAGGATATCAATAGCTCATTAAATCTCGGGTAGTCTACGATTTTATTTTATTTATATATATTAATTTTAAGTTGGCTTC